GAAACGTGCTATAACATGCATGAACCTTGAAGAAAATCTGCTAAGTGACATAATCCAGTCACAAAAGGACAAATACTATATGATTCCATTATATGAGGTACCTGGAGTAGTCAAATCTATAGAAACAGAAAGTAGAATGCTGGCTGCTGTGGGGAGGGGAGTAATTAGTGGGTATAGAATTTCAGTTTTGTAAGATGAAAAAGTTCTGGGAAGGTCAAAGGTTTGGATCCCTGAACTGGCTGCTGGCTAGTCCCCCTCCCCACCCCAAAAAAAAAAAAAAAGTTCTGGAGATGGGTGGTGGTGATGGTTGCTCAGCAATGTGAATGTACGTAATGCTATAGAACTGTGCACTTAAAATGGTAACTTTTATGTAATTTTGCCACAATAAAAAATTTGTTTTTGTCTTGTGGGTGTGAAATGGTCTATCACTGTGGTTTTTTTTTTTTCTTTTTGTCTTTTTCCGTGTCAGGCAACGGATTGCAACCCTCAGTGTCGCCCCTGTACCGGACCGGGACCGGCAACGGGATCGCAACCCTCGGTGTTGCTCCCGCGCCTCGCTCAGCCAGTGAGCGGGAACCGGTCTGTATGTGGGATCCGAACCCTCGGCGTGTTCATTAAACACTCTCCTTCTTTCCCACCTCCAGTAACCACAGTTCTGCTCTGTCCTTCTAAATGTTCAATTTATTATTATCATTACTATTGTTTATTTACTTATTTTTTTTAGCTCTGACTTATGAGTGAGAACGTTCAGTATTTCTCTTTCTGTGCCTGGCTTATAAGTCTTTTCTATTTCTCCTCTTTCTGAAACACACAAAGTCTAATATTTGTGTGGACTGACTTCTGACTGAGCTGTTCTGCTTGCGCAGCTGTAGAAGCCGATGTTATTACCTTATTTGCCCAATTTAAAGAACTACATGTTTAAGCATCATAGACAACTTTCAAATGTATTATTTTTGATCCCTGACTTTCCTAATTTGTAGCCAAAAATATGAATAAATAAGATTCACTGCTAGGTTTTTCAAATAAACAGTCACTTTAAATCCTTGGATCTTAGCATTTTAGGAAATAAAACAGACTTGACAATTGAACATACTTGGCTTGATCTTATTAAAACCAATATTTGTTTTTTTTTTTTCTTTTTGTCTTTTTCCGTGTCAGGCAACGGATTGCAACCCTCAGTGTCGCCCCTGTACCGGACCGGGACCGGCAACGGGATCGCAACCCTCGGTGTTGCTCCCGCGCCTCGCTCAGCCAGTGAGCGGGAACCGGTCTGTATGTGGGATCCGAACCCTCGGCGGGAGTGCCGCCGCGCTTCCCAAACGGCGCACTATAGCAGTGCGCCACCGGGCCGGCTCTATCACTGTGGTTTTAATTGCTTTTTCCTGATTACTGTTGAGGTGTGGCATCTTCCTGTACCGGCCCTATCACTGTGGTTTTAATTGCTTTTTCCTGATTACTGTTGAGGTGTGGCATCTTCCTGTACATGTATTGGCTGGGCTTCTTCTTCAGAGGTGTTTATTGTAGTATTTCGCCTACATTCTGATTGGGATTTGTGTCTTGTTCATACTCCTGGATTACCTATTGTCCTGGTGCGGTTATTGGAGAGTCTATCCTTTTCTGCTGCTCTACAAGGGCAACTCTGCCTTATTTCAAATTTCCTTGTATATGTGGGTCTGGTTCTGGGCTCAAGTACATTCCATTGATCTGTTTATCCCTGTGCAAATACTTTGCCGATGTAGCTTTTTATCTGTTTTTTTTTTAAACAGTTTTTTTTGAGATCAAATTCGCATACCTTACAGCTCACTGATTTAAATATGCAATTCAATGTTTTTTAGTGTATTTAAAGAGCAACCTGCACAGCTACCACCTAAATCAATTTTAGAACATTTTGATCACCCCCAAAAGAGACCCTGTACCCCATTAGCAGTTCTACCTGGTCGTGCTATCTTGTTCAACAAATGCCCCTCCTTGGTGGTGGTACTTCAGGAGTTTTAGCTATTTTTGCCCATAGTAGCTTTTTACATTCCATTAAAAATCTGGTAGAAATTCTCATCAGAATCGCATCGAATCTATATATCAGACTGGGGAGAATTAACATCTTAATGATATTAATTCTTTGTATCCATAAATATATCTGGGATCCTGTCTTTTCTTTTTGTCTTTTTTCGTGTCCGGCAATGGATCGCAACCCTCAGTGTCGCGCCCGGACCGGACCGGACCGGGACCGGCAACGGGATGGCAACCTTTGGTGTTGCACCCGCACCTCGCTCAGCCAGTGAGCG